GTTACTGTGTTTTTGTATTATTTCTGATTATGCACCTGACGATAACCATCCTGCACATATTTTCATTTCACATGTTTGAACACGCGAAATAAAGAATTTACATTTAACCATCATTTACTGCTTGGCTGTAAAATTTAAATACCAGCTACATAATCTTTTCTTATCCCCCCACACAATAAAATTTATTTCTAAATGATTTTGTTTGCATTATTATATATACACACAGAGCAGTATCTATGAGCCATAATGAGAGCCAAATGAATGTTTTTTCCCTAAGGCACAAGATGTTAGTGATTTTTCAAAGAGAGCGAGCACGAATAAAGTTTGTATCATTTCAAAATTAACCTAATGACTGAAAAATAATTACTAACATCTAGGCACTCAGTATAGGTAATAATATTAACTTTGAAAAGCAGACTATGATTATTGTGAAAGGGCCGAGCTTAAGTGGCTCAACAGCAATGATTTAGGCATTGAGTCTGGGACTGCCTACTCCAAAATAGGTTTTATAACGCCACACACACTGAAAAAACAACTACACTAAAGTACTGCTGTACCAACAGAAATGTTAATTTCAATGACAACGAACTGCCAATGAAACTTTTTAAAAATAATCAGAACTAAATAATAAGGGAAACTATGGTTATCGGACTGACTAGGAAAGTAGTGTTTATGCTGTTTATTAAAAGCTGCAGTAAGAAGGTAATTATGTTTATGCATTTTGGATGAAATTAAAAGTTGCACAGCTTTAGAAATACACAAAACTTCAAACTGGTTGTCATATCATTACAAAATCTAACTGCAAAATTAGACAAAGTAACAGATAGACAAGCACCAATTTTAATAAGGAATGATATTGAGCTACATGATTTATCAAGATGAAGAATATGGGTCAGTTTATTCCATATTGCCATACTGCATACACTAAAACAGGAAATATACTTCGTACTGGATACATAAACGACAAATCATTGAATAGCTGACTGATTTTGAAACATAAAAAATGAAGCCCTTAACAGTTAAGGACAATGAATTTGAAAGGAATTCAAATGATTCAGTGCAAGAAGGGATGTCAACATCTTAGATATAGTAGTAGAAAATAATCTGAAAATTTGTCTAATATTAATTGAAAATGAACATAATTTTTTACGATCAGCATTCTGATACTGAAATGCATGAATTAATCACATTTTTAAGATAATACAAGAAATTTTAACATAAGAAAAACTACTACTCCCCCCCAAAAAAAAACCTTAACTCTTTCACATCAAAGTCGCCCCAAACACCCAAGCATTCAGACAGCGGTAGGTCGCCCGAATGCCTGAATAATTTTCTACCTAGTGCTTTTTCCCAATCTCGTTATGCATTGCTCATTTCTTTCAGGAGTTGTTAAATGACATGTCAATCATTCTTTCCAAGTGACTAAAAGTAGTTCTGTTATTTTAATGCACCTTCTTTTTCCTTTGTTTACTGTCAATGTTTAGCTATCGATGCCCGAAGTTGCAATCCCGTCCCAAAGGGGAACTTCACATAAGTGTGAAAGCATCCAAGAAAGAAGTTATCATTTTACTTATGTAGGTTACTGTTAGCACTCTAGTATTCAATTTGTCATGGGGAAAGGAAAAACATTCAAACAGAAATTTGTAAACATGGTCCTTTTTGATGTTTGAGGAAAAGAGATTTGGTCCTCTCTCGATGCAAAAGAGATAATTAAGAGTCAGAAGGTAGAAAATTATATTTCTAAAACAGATTACTTCGAGACAGGATGAATGAAACATGTGATACATGTATTCAATTTTATATTCACAAACACTACATATGGAAGATAAGTAACACTGAGACTAAATAAAAATTGAGACTGAAAATGATTTGAATACTGTTGTCAACAAAATTATAAAATACCTTTTGAGACATGGCACAGCTATTCACCATAATTTTATTCTGGAAATACACTGACTACCAATATGTATTTGGACACCTATGCAAATGACGATATCTGCGGTCCTCAGGTACGGCACGGACTCCGCCAGTATATATCGTGTAGGGAACAGCATCAGCTTTAGTCGCATGCAAGATGCCTCGCAGTTCGGAACTCTCTGATTTCGAGAAGGATAATTATGGGTATCACAAATTTGGCCGATCCTAAGGGACATATCTTAGCGAACTGAATACCCAAAATCGACAGTGGCCTATGTGATTAAGAAGTGGAAGGGAGCGGTTGCTTGTCGGATGTGCCCGAGTCGGAGACCAATGAAACTGGGAGATAGAGACCGAAGAGTGCTGTCCAAGAGAAATTCGGAAGAACTGCAACCAACGATGGCCCTCATCTGCGAGGAGTTTCAAAAGGCATCGGGAGTATGTTTCAATGAATACCATGTAAGGAAGACATCTGCTTGTTTTCATGGTCGCTGTGCCCATAAGCCTTTGATACCAAGTACACCGCGCTGCTCGGGAATGTGTTGCAAGCACACCGAAATTGGACCGTAGATCAGTGGAAACGGGTTCTTTGGAGTGACGAATCAAGGTTCACCTTTTACCGCTCGGATGGCAGGGTCTGGGTCTGGCGTCTACTTGGAGAACGTCTCCTGCCAGAATGCATTGTGCCAACAGTCAAGTTTGGCAGAGGTGGAATTATGGTCTGGGGGTGTTTCTCCTGGTATGGGCTGGGACCCTTGGTCTCCATTCATGGTAAGCTCAACTCCGATGCCTATTGCACTATTTTGGATGACAACGTGCTTCCTACGTTGTGGCAGTTTTACGGGTTGGACCCCTGTTACTTTCAGGACGACAATGCCAGTTGTCATGTTTCGACATTAACCAAGGCTTGGTATGGTGCCAATGGAGTTCATCGAATGGACTGGCCTGCCCAGAGCCCAGACCTGAATCCTATCGAGAACCTCTGGGACGAGTTGCATCGCCGAATTCAGGGGTTACATTACCTGTGCAAAATCGGTGAAGGAACTTCTATGTCTTTTCCAAGCCGAGTGGAAGAAAATACCACTAGCTGTCATACAAAGACTTGTGGAAAGTATGCCCCGGAGGGTCTACGCTGTAATTACCTCTCGTGGAGGCTCTACCAACTATTGATTTTAAATAAAGTTAGTTTTTCTTTTCTATCACAGGTGTCCAAATACTTATTGGTAGTTAGTGTATAAGAGGTAAGTAATACATCAAAAAGCAAAAGTATGGACTGAGCTAGAAAGCATTTGGGAAACTAGAGTAAGAGTCAAATGAAGGATACTAAAAACAGAGACATTTTTTGATAAAAAGAATTATTGAATGATGATCTTTGCTTTCAAAGGTTGAAGTGAATACTAAAATCTCCCAGTCAACCAACTGAAATACAGAAGTTCTGAACTTAAAACAGGAACACATAGATATACATACATATACAGAGAGGTAGAAAGATCAGAAATGCAAGCTGGAAGAAAAAGAATGTGAATTGCTTGAGCTATGAAGATGCATAATCGAATCAAATGAGGATGACAGTGAAGCTGTATGTACTGGTAAATGATAGATAAGGCAATTTCATTTATTATAAAAGGCCCATTCTAGTTTTCAAACAACTAATAAATCTTTATACCATACACTAAATTTCATTTGCTCATATGTAAACATATATTCTGAGAAAAGAGCAGTTTACTGTCAAGTAATAAGCTTACTGCCAAATAATAATGTACTATTTAAAAATAACTTACTATTAAGTTAATTACTTTTTAACAATATAATATTATTGCAAAATATGTTCAACTATAAAAGCATCTATTCAGTAGTATTTCTTACTATTAAGTATTATCAACTATTGTTTTACGAATCAGGAACTATTCTCAGTTGTCATATTAAGTATCATACAGCGTGTTTCTAAATTAATTGGGAAATTTTAAGGGCTCACACTTTTGTAATACACCATATGGTGAGAAAAGAAGAAATAAAACTGGAATAATTTAAACTGTTTATGACATGTAATACAATTCTGACAGTCAAAACTTTGCACAATTCACTTTAATACAATACAGTTATAATAGGATTATGTAATACTGACTGTAAATATAATAAATTTTAAATTAACAACTCACACAGGTCATGAAAGGAATGAATCGTTAAAGAAAAACTAGCGTTTGATATTAACTAGCACCAACCAATACACTATTAACAACTAGTGCCTTTTGATCATAAAACATATTTTCAACATGAGGCAAATAAATTAAATAGGTTATTTTCATTTCCGATTGGCACAATCTAACAGTCATATTAAACAGATGGTTTTCCTCCACAGATTCTATCTACCTAAAAGACAAATGAACAGTCTCCACAGATTGTATCTAAATAAAAAGGCTTCCCTTAAACCACTTTTCAGTTTTCATTTTAACACTTTGTTGGCAATTATTTCTATTACACTTGTATTATTCATCTTTCATCACATACAGCGTTTATTAGGAAGAGATGGAAAAGTCATTACTTTTGGTAAAATACCGCATGCTTGGAAATTACAGACTTCCCCTAATCCATTCTTTTCAAACTCGTATTGCAAATTTGTGGGGAAAAAGAATATAAAAAAATGATTCAATATGGATGCAAACTTGCTACAACTGGTCTGCGATCGATATTAAAAAGAAAAGATGAAAAAAAGCCATTTTCATCCCTCCCTTGGTATAGGGAGCCTGGAGGGTGCATTCATCCAGGAAAAATATACCAATAAACAACAAACAGGAAAAAAAAATTAAAAAATCTAGTGTTGCAACAATACTCACAGGAAAGCAGAGTTACAGGCAATATTACTGACGATGTATTGGCAAATGCCAGTTAATAATGCAGTACTGGAAATTTAGTAATTTTTTTTAATAATCTACTTCTAAAATAAATATAAATATATGGTTATTTAAATAAGTCTTATGTAATTTAACAATAAATGGGTTCTTAGCTTAATGACAAAAGTGTAATCAAGTTTTATATATCAAGATGCATTTGAGAGTAATATCAACAGATTAAAGATGAATTACAGTAATATCTATAAATATGAAAATAAGCATCCAGATCTCAACATACCATTCATCATAAGGATAGTTTGCTGTTACACCATGCATAACTAAAGTTGAAGATCCTCCACCATCTAAATTGACAGCATTTACAAATCCAAATTCTTTCAACAGACTTTGCATTTCATAGAGATTTATGCTGGCATATAAAAATCAATAACATTTTCTAGTTTTAGTTAGAAAAGTACAATACACACAAAAAAGAGTTTATTACTCAGATGTTAAGAACGTCTCTTACTACGCAACTTAGGCAAACAATACATTATAGATTATATATGCAATGTAAAAAAAGTGGGAGGGGAAAAAGCACTTCTTATTTTAATTCTTGAAGATTAAAAAAAGAAAAAAGAAGAAGAAGAAAAAAAAAATTGCAAGTTTTGTGCTCTGACACAAGGAATTTCATTAATAAGTCTTGGAATGCAGTTAAATAACTGAAGTACGAAGAAACATCTCAGCCTTAATGAGTAAAAAAAAGATGCTTCTGCTTATGAAGAGATTACACCATCAGGTCTTTTTTAATAATTTTAAGTGTTTATGGCATTTAAAATTCAAGTGAAGAAAACATAACAGAATGAGTAAAAGACTCAAATGAGTAAAAGAAATGAATGAGTAAAAGACAAATATGGCAGAATAGACACCAATACTTATTAGTATCAAATAAGTCTTGCCAGATGAATGAAGGTTATAAGATCAAGACATTCTAGATGCTGCAACCAATAAAAAAGCAGGGAAAAAAAACAGATTAAGTTCATAGTAGAAGTTAAATAGCAAAGACGTGCTACACTGGAATATTATACATAGACAAGCATGCACATTAATGAATGGCTTTCAAATTTAATGGTATCATAGTCTTGCTGAATATTCACCATAACATCCAAAAATGTCAAAATAGTTATTAAAATATAAAATTTTATATTTTCCAGGAGGAAAATTAAATACCATGCTCGTTTCTTTATTATTTTAATTAATATAATAATTTTAAATGATATAATAATCCCATTCCTCAAAAACTGCTGAAGAGTTACTTTCTTAAAAGTATACTGGCCCATTTTTTGATTATCTGTGCTTACACTTATATTAATTAATAAGAATAATCAGGATTTGATGCATTTAAATACATTAAAAAATAAGGTACTCTTCTGTTATTGGGGGGGGGACCAGATTCAGAAATACATGTATGTATGCATGCATGTCCATATATGTGTATATATACACATATATATACATGTATGCGTGTATATATATGCACACATACATATATGCATGCATACATGAACACATACATCCATACATACATGCATATATATATACACATTCCTGATAACAGAACAGTACCAAAATTAAATGCATAATTTAATTCATTAAAAATTTTAAGTAAATAATGGCACAAATTAATTTTTATCAAGGTATGCAACTACAGAATGAAACTGAAGAGAAACACATGCAAAAGATTACGCATTATGGTAAAAAATTAATATGGATAAATTGTAGAATGAAATATTAATATACAAAATTTGAACTCTGAAGAAACGGATCGCATAAAATTATTTGTATAAATTTTGCAATTCATATAATGGATATTTAGTTATCTAGCTTTAAGAAATAAATCAAATTTGGAGAAGGAAACTATTTGAAAATGATGATTATACAAGTTTTTTCAAGCATCATTTGATTTTTTTCGCCTAATTTTTAAGATCCTTAACATTATCCATTTTTGTATACTTTTACATAAACTGAAAATTTCTTATATATGAAATATTTCATAAGGTTAAAATTGTATTTAAGTTATTTGTAAAGAAAAGGGGGAAGATTTATTAGTTACAAATATTCTGAAAATGTTTATTTTAAATACTTATCACATTATATAAGAAGAAAAAGTATTATGACTATAAGGAAAATTTAGTAGTTTTTCATTCAAAGTGCTAATGTATAATGTCTGAATCTCTACAGAACAGGGAAAAATCATACAGACTGATGAAATGTTTAATTTGTGAAATAACAGGTAAAAAATATACAACTGAATTATCAGAGATTACCATAGATACAGTTTCAAATAACTTTTTGTGCAGATAGGTGCCTTACAAAATCTAATTAGCATAAATATTTATTATTATCAGTATCACTTAATTCAGAATGAAAATATACATATCATTTTGCTTTACACATATTTTTAAAAAATATTTTACTTAATTTTTGCATGGGGGGAATATTTCATATATTTAGTTTTAATATAAATATGGATCAAAATTGCTTTCATTGTTTTGTTTCTAGTTGAAATAGAAATGGGCTATGTGTTTAAGTAAATAAAAGATGATTTTACTATTCAATTTTGCTGGATAAAAGAACATTCTGAATTTTGTTTTATGGGGGAAATATTTTTATTACTAACATTAACTTGTATAGAAATAAAATAATAACAATAAATAATAACTGAGAAAGTCTCCTTCTTTGCACTACAATAAATAGACATTCCCCTACAGAAAAAATCTGATGCAGACACCACATGACTTCCTTGCACTGAATATTAAATTATATGCATTTCTGCTGCATTTCATTTAAATTTATTTCCTCGTACTTCATTCAGATTTCTCATTCAATTAATTCAGTTCTCACTTCGCGGTAAGGCAAAAATGCATAAAACCTCAAAATATTTTCATTAAAAATTGAAAAATAAAGAAATAAAACACCAAATACAGTTAAAACAATAAAAAAAATTTTTACAATTAAAATGAAAGTTTCTATGCGAAAACGAGCAATTCGGCCAGCAGGCAACAAGGTAGAATTTTAGGTGCACAAAACTGAAAGTTTACTGTTGGTTCCACTTGGCAAAAAAATATTGAAGGTGCAGAACTGACTTAAATCACTATTCTGCTAAGTTTCTCATGTAAACAAATATAGCTGCTATAGTAAACAAAAATTAGGCTTAGCTGCCCTTACACAAGTTTTAAATTGTTGATAATTCTGCAACTATTGCATGCAGATTAACTAAGGGCATAAAAAACCTTAACTGGAAGATAAGAATAACATTCAATAATTTTTAAAGCAAAATATGCAAAATTTACCAACATATAAGAATAAAACAAATTGAGTTCACCAAGCCAAAAAACAGAGTGGGTCACTCTGTTTTTACAGTATACAGGGGTTGGACAAAAATATGGAAACACCTTTAAAAAAACATGTTTCTTTGCTTAATATGGTGTAGGAAACCCATTGGCATCCAAAAACAGCTTGCACTCTTCTCGGAATGGATAAATACAGTTCCTGTATGTTTGCCAAGGGAATATTATACCATTCTTCCTGCAAAACGGTGGCAAGTTCAGATAACGATGTTGGCGGTGGACAACGAGAACGCACTTTCCGTTCCAATGTAAACCACAAAGGTTCGATAATATTCAGGTCTGGTGACTGTGGTGGCCAGGAGAGATGGGACAACTCATCCTCGTGCTCAGAAAACCAGTCCTGGACAATGTGAGCTGTGGGAACAGGGGCTTTGTCGTCTTGGAAGACACCATCACCATCGGGGAGCAAAGTTTGTAACATGGGATGAACTTGATCGGCCAAAATGTTCACATAAGTCTTGGCAGTCATGTGCTCTGACACAGTTATCATGGGGCTAGCAGAGAACCATGATATGGCTGCCCAAACCATAACAGAACCCCCGCCATGTTTCACTCTTGGCAACAAGCAGTCTGCATTATAGGCTTGAGATGGCGTTCTCCAGACGTAAACGGCCTAAAGTGGGAAACAATGCGAAAGAAGAATCGTCAGACCATATTACTCGCTTCCACTGCTCTACATTCCAGGCTTTATGACTTAAACACCACCTTTTCCTGTTACGGGCATTAGCATCACTGATGAGTGGCTTCTCAATTGCAGCACGGCCAGCAATTCCCTGTTTATGAAGCTCCCTTCTAATTGTTTTGGTACTCACAGGGTTCGGTAACACAACATTCATTTCAGCAGTAACTTTTGCAGCTGTGGGTCTTCTTATTTTTCGTCACAATTGCCCTTAATGATCGTCTGTCACGATCACTCAGGACACACACACTTTCGTCCGTGCTGTGATTTAGCAGATGATGTTTTTCCGCTTTTCAAATATGCGGAATAAATCTTCGATACAGTACCTCTTGAAACACTAAACACCTCGGCTACCTTGCTTACGGAAGCACCTACCATACGTGCTCCAACAATTTGCCCATGTTCGAAGTCTGTTAACTCTGACATAACGCAATGACAACCTCACATAACAGTACTCCGACAACAACTGAACTGTTTAGCACATTTACGAAGTTGTATAGGTGGTGTTAGTAGTCAAAAACGCCAGCGCCACCTACATATTTCATTAAAATCAATCTTTCTTTTCAAACATGCATTTCACAAGGTGTTTCCATATTTTTGTCCATCCACTGTATATATATATATAGTAAGAAATTTAGAACTAATATTTCACAAAGACCAGAAATTGAAATCCATAATTAATAAATTTCAAATAATTATATAAATGCACAAAGACATTTAAAATGTTAAAACCAAAGCATCTCAAACAAGCAAAATCTCACTTCAAAAAATTTTTTTATGAAATTTAATGCACGAAAATACTAGGCATGCTTGTGTTTTGTAATTATATATATAAATTTGCATACTTTTGGTGTGACCGATTGCAGCCAAAAAGGGAGGTGCACAACTACATGTTATAGCGGTTCTATACATGAAAGTGCAATGCTCTGAGGCTACTTGTTTTTGAGTTATGCGAGATACATACATATGCATGTACATACATGCAAACATCATGAAAAAAAATCTCTTCTGAATCAATTTTAAATACTTTTTGCAACCCATTTCGGGGAAAGAGAGTCTTTTATTCTGTCCTTATGTATAGATGTCATGCAAAAACATTGTTAAATTGCATTCGATAGTGGTCAAAATAGATATTTTCATTTAACTATGATACCCACCATTTTTCGTGATTACAGTTCTTCCTTTACTTCATACAAGGAAGTAAAAAGGGCAACACAGGACTAAAGAGAAGGGCTAGCTCATACAGCGTTTCCCCCTGAAATATGCAGTGAGGAGTGATGACGTAGCAATGATGCCACCGAGCACGGAGATGCAATTCACAAACATAGAAATTAGTGTTTTAAATTTGAAGAACCAGCGTTTAAAATGAGATGTGTATGAAAGATAGCTATAATTTGGAAGAGACAATGTTACTGCTGTATGCATTTTACACTGAACATTACAAAAATTAATAATACTTACTCAATTTTAAAAATAATAGATAAATATACGCTACTCTTAGCATAAAGTTCCTTTTTAAAAATTTGCAGGGATTTTTTTTTTTTGTTTTCTTTAAATGCATGTTTATTTCTAATCATTTCTTTATCTGCATGTTAACTAAGAGGAACTATACTACTACTGCTTCTAAGATAACTATGCGCATAAAAGCTATTTAAACATGTAATCAAAAAACAACCTTAAATTGTCATAGTTTTAAACATGTATGCGTGTGTATATGTGCATAATACGTTTACGCATGCTAATCTTAATGTATGACGGACGGTATCAAGCCTAATTGCTAAAATTACATTGGCATAATTTTATCCCGATTCAATATAATAACATATATATTTTTTAAAATAATTTTGTAACTTAGGCTTACATCAATATTTCATTTAAATAAATACATGTAAAATTCTTATCTTAATTTAGACAAAACAACTTTACTCACAGTACCTAAAATAATTATTTAATTTTTCAAAAGTGAGGGTTAGGGGGCAGATCTTCTTATGCCAATTACTTTAATATCATACTTTATATCTAGAATGCTAAGCTAACACAAAATCGAATCAATAATAACAGAGGATACAATAAAAAAAAACTGTAACAATAACTTAACAGAATTAGTTCTCATTTGAAATATGCTTTACGCTGTTAACTTCTAAAATGCCATCTAGAAATATTTCAAATCAAAACATATTATATATGCTTAATTGTACAGTCGCAACGCAACTACAAGTTGTTGAAACATTATTTATTGGCTGCCACATACGAAGCAATCCATTTTTTTGCCTTTTGGGTTGCTTTTCTTTGGGAAAAAACATATGCATTTCCATTTAAGAAACGTATTCTAATAAAAGTTCTCACTCTGCAAAATAAACGAATTGCTTCTCTGTTAACTTCAGGATAATATTTCTCCAGTTTATTAATTAAAGAGCCAATTACATGCTTCCCTTTATAGTAAGCTGTACCATGAACTGCATAAAATATGTTTTCGAACTCGTAAACTGTATTCATCTATGAATGGGAAGGTGTAGTCAAACCTTTTAAGGACAATAATTTAATCCATTCTGAATTAAAATATTGGTTCATCAGCACTATTTTTAGATATTGTTCCCAATGATGGGTCTTTGTCTCGCACACGATAGGCAATATAACCTGCAACATATGTTAATGCTTCTTTTTCGGCTGTCGAAAATTGTCTGTCGGAATTCAATTCTAATTCCCATGCCATAGGAGAAGGTTCCTCTATGAAATCTAAATCCAAATCATCAATAGTATTTAATGGAAAAGATCTTCCTCCTCAGTTTCCAAGTATCCCTTTCAAGTATTCCGGATGTTAAATATGAATCAATATTTCTGCTTTCTTTAGCCATGCATACTTTTGAAGATAAATTTGGCAGCTTATTAGTGAGTATTAATTGCTTTAAGCGGCGTATAACTTCACTAGGTGATGGATGGTCATTAAACCTACCAAGCCCTCTAATCTGACTAAAGAGACTTTCAAGTGCATCCTGAGTTAATCTAGAGGTTAAAATATATTTAGCATCATACGATGATTTCAAATCCTGGTGTAGGCCAAAAAGAGAATTTATTGAAATTATTATTCCTTTATGGAAAGGCAGTAAGTTGGCTTTTCCCTGAACTCTTAATCCACCAATGACTTTCTTCATTAATTCCAAAACTTGAATTTGTTTTTCATGATGTTCATTTAATCCAAATGCTGCTTTAAGTATTTTATCTGAAGGAGGGTATGTTTTCGTACTATTCATAATATAAAAAAAATTGTCGATTAACTCAAAGAAGTCGGATGCTTTTTTATCTCCTGTGAGGTGGAGTATACCTTTTGCTGTACTTCTTGAAAATAATGTTTTCGCTGGAGCGACTTTTTGTCTCTCGTTTCCCTTGACCATTAAATAATTTGGTTTTAGTTTGTGACACAATTTAATTTCTCCTGAATCTTTATTTAAAACCTCTTTAATAATATCAACATTTAAAACAGTTCCATCTTCTAAAACAAATCCTTTATCTAAAAAGTGGTTTCTCAGTAATTTGAGGCAGTGCGCTAAATCTGCAAAAACCCATATTTTTTCGTTTGGAATACTGGATTTGGAAACTGAGAACTATTAATCGAAATCTGTAACTCTTTCCACAAAGTAGTAGATCCTCTTAAATCAGACACTATTGCTTTCACTTCTACTCCAGATGATTGAATATGTCTTATGAGTGAAAAAAGAAGTTCTTTCTTCATTGGAAGTGTTAAAATATCAAAAAATATTGGTTGTTTCCACTGCGAAATGAGACCTCTGATTAAAACCAAACTTGCACTTTTTGAAAAGGACCGAGAATTTGGTCCAGTTTAGAGTCATAGCAGAGTTTAGAATCTATGTGCAGTTTTGTCGAAACTGAGAACGCATATTTTTTCTACAGAATTCAAATATTGGCATCTTTCCTTCATTACAGCAAGAGCATCACTCTGAACTCCTGGACTACATGAGAATTTAGCACACCATCTCTTTAATGTGCTAGTGTAATATGTAAAGGAATTCCCATTTTTTCTTTCCAAAAATCGTAGCTTTTAGATGACAGAGCTCTTATGACAATGCAACGTGAAATATCTTCACTAGTCCACCTGATTTTTTCCTTCTTTTCTAGCAACGCGTTAATCTGCGTCTTTGTAAAAATATGCTTTAGACGTTTTTCCAAATTCTCCGATCTGTTCTGCTTTTTCCTAAATTTCGCTGTTTGGGATTTTAATTTCTGAATTTCCGATACAAATTTCTTTCTAGATGTCGTCCACGTTCTTTGTCACTGAGCAAACATTCTAAAATTTTTCTTTTCTCCATTTTTCAATATTTTATTACAATTTTCTAAGGATATTATTTTGTTCTTCAAATTATCAATACATTCTTGTTTATCTTTACACTTAGGGCATTCAGGGATATTGTCACTTAGGACATTGTCACTTGTGAATTTTATTTCAAAATTATTCACATTTTATTTATTATTGTCAGCTTCAATTACCGTTCTCGGGCCTCAAATAAATTTTCTTTGGGCTTAATTCGTGTAGTCCTTTCAAAAGCACTCTGCATTAGTTTTCTTTTCAAATGTCTCCGATTTCTTTGTGTTATTTCGTTTACTGCACACGATAAATTTACTTTCGGCACAGCATTGCATTTCAACAGTTTCTTTTGTGGCAATCCAAGCAAGCGATTTCTCATGTCATCTTCATAATCACTGCACAGAAAATGTTCGCTGCAAATTCTTGCGTTTTTCACATTAATAGAATCTTGTCTTCGACATTTATGTATCCATTCTTTTGTCAAAAGCAAATTATCCTTTGGGAAAGAATGAAATACAGTATCTCTTTCTTTCGCATTTCTATAAGTGTTACGGCACGTTGCTACAGCACAAGAAGCCATATTACATAAAGGATACTTTAAATATAGAAAAGGAAAACTGACTGAAACTATATATATATATATATATATATATACACACAAATTATTTTAAATATTTGCATTATTAGAAAACAAATATGTATGATTAACATTAATTTGGGATATGCGATCTCCAGAAAATCGTCTCGCATATGAATGAAACTACAATTTTAAAGGCGCGAAATCAGAGCAGGTGCAACAGAGACACGTCAGATTACTTCTGGTTCCCCCCCTCCATGAGGCTCGCATCGGCGAGGAGTCGAACAAAGGAATGACCTAGCCCTTCTATTTATCCCTGAGGGCAACATACTTGCTCAGGTTGCAACAATTATTACTTGCTCAGGTTGCGACAATTATTCTTAAATTTTACTAATAGTTACGTTTGAATTAAACCGTATCTTATCCTTCTGCATTCAGATTACATTATTCACTTTGACCTAACATTATGCAAATTTAATGTCATGTGGCATAGTTTAAAAGTAGAATTTAATCTTAGCTGTAGCCTGGAGTATTCAGCACACTGTTGCTGCATCTCTGAGAATTATCAAGTCTTCCTCAAGCAATGAAGAGCTAAAGCTTTAGCTAGTAACCAGGCTTTTAATACATTTAGAGGTAGTGTAAATGGCCAGGTATTTATTTCTGAACTTAAAACCTTGTTTGTAAATAAACTGAATTTTTACCTACCAGCCTTATCTTATAGCTTATAGAATGGGGTTATTATTTTAAAATTTCATTCGGTATCTACAAGAAACTGCTAAAAAGATATTATTTGGATTTTAATTTGACTTTTAGTTAAATATTTCTTAAGGTGATAATTTGCCAACAAATTAACATAGCTGTGTATGGTAGCTATTTGAAAATTCAGTTTAAAGTAACTTCACACAACAGAAGTTATATGATTTTCTGATTATCTGCATAAGATCCGATCACAATTAGCTTTAAATATATCATGAGATGTTCAACAAAATATGGTTCTATACAATAACAGCATACAGTTTTTGAGTATATTTTATTAAACCTGAAAGAAAAAAATATTTCTAACATATACAGCAACATGAACTATATTTTAATTTTTATCCAAGTTTTTATTTTAGCAGATTATTAGTTTAAATACCTAATACTATGGTTATGAATCATAAAGCTCAACTACAAATAATATAATATTCATTTGTGAATATATACATAAAACAAATTAATGTGTGATGATGATTACTACTATAATCCAAATTCCAATAGTAAAAAGAAAGTAAAAATAATACTTTTTTCTCTTACCCATCCACTTCAGATTTACCATCAACTTGAAGAAGTATAATATTCCCATCTTTATCATGACCTATAACTGACCTAGCTGATAATATATTGACAAATCGTTCCATTGGACCTAGAAATAAGATTCATAATTTTTTTTTTGTAACAATTTACATTTGTGATAACTATCAAAGAAAACTAAAAATTTCTTCCTGCAGAGATAATAAGATAATAAATATTAATATATATATATATATGAATGTTAAAATCTTTGGCAAGACAGAAAAATACATCTATGTATAAAATATAGTGTAATCAATCTCTTCTGCTGAGCTCGTCTATTGCAGATACAGTAGAAGTCCAAAAATCCACATTGCTTGGGTCCAGAAGTTATGTGGATTTTAGGATTTTGTGGATTTCAGGACAGAAAAGGAAAATCATAATATTCAGACTAAAAGTGCAAAATAAATAAAACATTTTAGATACACTTAAATAAATTTTTATATACGTTATTATATTAATTTATTACATGCATTAAATTATTATTTTAATACTGTATATATATTTATTTTATTATATTATTCATTTATATTAGTGATTACAGGGATAGTTAAAAGTATTACGGATGTATACAATAAAGACATACAAAAATAAGGGATATTAATAAATCATAAAATGTTTTTTTTTAAACATTTTTCTGATAGCGGTCTGTTTTAAAACTTTAGGGTGCTCCAGAGTAATTTTTTTTTATTATGTAGAGTCATAATCTCTTTCTCTGTGACACACCTTTGTTGTTCTAAAAATTTTAGTTATATTTCGCCATGTTCAAACCCCCATTAAAAGATATTTGCTCACTTCTATCAAATTCACTATCTGTAACCATGTTGGAATCGTTTTCTTGCTGTGGCAAGTTCAAATGAAAGCCAGTGATTTCATCATCAGTTATCTGATATGCCAGTGTTGGCTCATCGGAACACATCATCTATTCAACGATATGTTCTTGCAAAGCCTTCTGATTTATTCTCTTTGAATATAAAAGTAATTTTCTTGCTTTAATCCTTGCTGCACTGACCCTAAAACCAGAAAATTCCCTCTCAGTTTCAATAAACAGAGAAGATGGCCATACATTATGCCAGGCATTTTACCAAGGTTGTTTGGGAAACATAATTCCATAATTCAGTTAACAAATAAATGCAGTAATTAATGATGACTTTTTTATAATCACAAGGTGAAATGGAATCACTTAAAAAAATATTTTTCAGAAACTCTGATTTATAGTGGCTTTTAATACTGTGTATTATGCCTTGGTCCATTGGTTGGATCAATGATGTAGCATTTGGGGACAAAAAAAAAAAAAAAAAAAAAAAAAAAAAAAAAGGCCATGACATTATTACATGTTAAAATGGTTGCATCTGGATGTGCAGAGCAATTGTCTAACAATTGTAAAATCTTGTAATTTGATGGTAACCCCCACACTGTTGCAATGCCTTCTAGCCTCTTTAACAAATTTTCCGTGAACCATTCGGTCATAACTTGTTCCATAAACTAGGAATTTTTATTATTCCTGTAAATCACAGGTAAAGATTTTACTCCATTCAGAACTGTGGATATGGTGCTCTTTCTCAGTACCACTGGTTTACATTTGTAAGTTCCAGCTGCTTTGCTGCATACTAAAATAGTAACTCTTTCTTTAGCTTCTTTCACCACTAACAGTGCATTTTCTTTGATTGTCACAAATGTCTTTCTTGGCAAACATGATCAAAACGTCCAGTCTCATCCTTATTAAAAACCTGTTCTGGTCTAAGATTTTCTTGTGCCATTAACGCAGAAAATTCATCAGTAAATTCCTCTGCAGCATCTTTATCTGCTGACAGTTTTTCCCCACATGCTTTCAGATAGATAATGTATATTGTGTCTCTGCTTAAATCTGTTCAGCCAACTGCTACTGAAATCACACAGTTTCTCTGTTTTTAAATCTGCATGAATCTGTTTTTCCCTTTCTGCCAGAAGTGGTCCTGAAATTGGTACCCCATCACTCCGCCACTCCCGGAACCACTAGTACAAGACAGCATCGAGGTTTGCCCATTTTGCCTTCTGCAAAGATTTCCAGTTTCGGATTCTGGTGTTAGAATCACTGCTGCTGTAAAATTTCAACAGCTTTTCTTTATTTTTCCGTATATCATACACAGCTTGTGTCATAATTCCACACGATTCTGCTATAAACTGAGAGTAGTACCTGCCTTCATCTTTTGCAAAATTTCCAATTTTTGTATTATTCTCAATGCAACATGTATGCGTTTTCCAACCGATGCAAGCAGTAAAATCATGAATGTGTTTCTTATCTGTCATTATATTAGTGCTGAAATTTTAAATATTTTTAATTTATCCACAAAATATTGGAATAAAAAAAGGCAGCATTAAACAATCTCCATAGACTCCAACCTTCAGCAAACCTTGTCAGTAGTCAATGCGCGAACGACATTTTTACAACTTTGAAAATGTGCGCGTAGCGTATGTTGTAATTAACCATTCATTAATTTTAAATTAATAATTAATTGTAATCAATTTTATTACATTTAAAATCCATATACATATAAAACTGAATAATTAAAAATATACCTTGTAAATTATATGCACATTTAATTAGAAATTTTCTTTTAACTCCTCAAGCATTCACTAATAAAAAGTACTTCAAATCACTACTAATCATAGAAAAAAATCAGAAGCTATAAATCATATCTTTATTCTGGATATGATTTCTACAGGGAAATAAAATTTAAATAACCAAGAATGATACATATAAGTATTAAACAAAATACGCATAATTTGAATGCAAAGATTTATATGCAGCATGCTTAGCAAGCTTAAGTTCTGATTTTGAGAATGTTTTTTATAACAAACACAGTTCTTCATTTGCCTGCATATTTATTTTTTCAATCAAAACTGCTTCAAGAGTTTTAAGACCTAAATTTGGTCGAAATTAAGTCTGATTTTTTTTAACAATAGAAAAAATTCTTTCGCAAGCTGCATTTGAATGAGGTATTATTAAGACAGCAAGCATTACAGAAGCAATACTTTGTATTTAATACACCCATTCATATTTTTTAATTTGGCAATTTCTCCCCATGCTATATCAATATGCAAATCTACAATTTCTTTCAAATCATCTACTTGATACATGGAAAATTCAATTTACTACTTGATTAAGACATTTTTCATCAATAATGGATGGAAAAAGTATTCATCAAGTAAAGAACAGATGAAAATGAGACTTCAGTTCTCAAGTTGATGTCAGCAACTTCAGCATGTTTTAGAAATGGATCACTCAGTGGAAATTTATCAATTATATCTATGAACATGCAGTTACAAAAAAGCTCGCACAGAATTGAAAAATGATTTCACTTCACCTTTCATTCAAACTTGGGATTTTTTAAATATAGTCTTGTTTTTCCGCACCAATCACTAAATTTTCATTTTCTTTTTGTTTACTATACTTCTGAAATGGAATAGACGTTAGAGTAAACATCTTCATTTTCTTTAGAAATTACTGATGGTTTTACAAATCTAACAAATAAATTCATTAAAAGTTCAAAAAGTTCTCTTCTCGATTTATGTATATAAGGAGCTTGTTGTTGCAAATTAATATTTACTGTTATAAACAAAGGCAAAGTATTTTTCAAAATAACATAGTACAATTTGGTGGTCGGTGACTGTAAATTTTTTTTAATGTTTTGCAATCTCTTTCCTTCATTCTCACTGTTATCTGGTTTATCTCCAAAAAAATTTATCACAGCATCCCACTGTTCCAAAATCCTTATTATAGATTCTAAAAGAGACAACCATCTCATACTGCAATATTTCAAAATTTTATGAGATTTTGCATTCTGTCCCAAAAATTGTTGAGCAACTTTGAAGCTATGCTTCCGTTTCGAACTTTTCTCCAAGTAAAAATATATATCTATTATCAACATTTCAATTTCTGAGCCAATTAATTTTTCAGTAGCTTTTTTTGCAGCTATATGCAAGAGGTGGCACAGACAACCTCGGGTGATTATACTTGGTTGATGCATTTTGATAAATGATGCTACACCTTTAAACTTTCCAATCATATTACTAGCATTATCTGAAGAAAATGATAAGCAATTTTTCCATTCTAAACCTTTGTTTTTAAAAGTTTTCATTTATACAATTAAAAATACCTTCTCCTGTATTATTCGTGCATTCTAAAATAGAAATCAATGAAGTAATTATCACTCCCTTTTCTTTACTGTAGTATGTTATAACCAATGGGTACAGTTTGTTATCATTGTTATCGTTACTTCATTCATCAGTACTTAGAGAAAATGATGTACTGCACACTGATTTTATAATATCAGCAACAGTATTTTCTGCAAGCGTTTTCACAATAGCAGCAGTTTTGGTATGACCGCAGCTAAATTTTTTTGCTATGGCAGAATCCGGAAACATTGCTTTGAAAAGCTCTTTGGAATGATCCGAAACAGAAAGCGGTAGATTATGTTCAATTAAAAAACGAACAAAATAGCATTCGGCTTTTATAGGATCTGTTTCATCATCTTTTATTAAGAAATTTGTTATTTCTTTAGATTTTACGGTGCCAAGTTCTATATGCTTTTGAGAAAACACATGCCGTTTACAGTCATCTTTTCCGCCATGAGCAACTGAGAAGTCTTTGTTGCATACACTGCAGTGTGCGTGATTCACAGAAATTTTTGGACGCTTAATAATGCATGGAAATTCTGAAGAATATGAATCTTTAAACTTCTGCTTTGATAATTTTGGCTTCTTCTTCGTTCGAGGCAGCATTATGATTAAAAACCTTTCACCTGATTCACAGTTCACAAGACACACGCTAAGCTCTCGCCGTAAACTACACAATGCAGCCGAATGCAGCCTAAACACGCATCAGCAAGGAACCTGGGAGACAGACAATTGGGTGGAACTATTGATAAGTCGTTAACGGTTGGAGTTACTGATCTACGATTGGCTAATTCTTCAAAACTAGGAACGCACTCAACACGTGATATATGATAACACGAGTATTCAGCCAATCATCCGATGAATTAGTTGGTTCCGTTTTGCGTACTGGTTCTCCTGCTCTTATTTCTGTAAAAT